GGTCCCAATTTCTTTCTTCCCATAATTTCCTGTTGTCTCTGTGCTACCTTCATCAACAAAAAGCTGTAAAATAGTCCAAAATCAGGCATTATTCACAGCTTTTGTGCACATCAATTTGACTCCAAAGTAAACAGAAACCATGTTCCTTCTATCCCTCATCACAGACTCCTTCAGCGACGATAAGATGCTGTTAGAGTATTGTGTTCTTGTACCCGAAAGGTCAAATTAGGTTATGAGTCCCACTTCAGCGAAGCAAAATGTCACAGATGATTTTTAAAGCACACAGTGTACCGACATGCTCAGTGATGCACGCCGGGCCTGTAGCTTTCATTTGGACAGCGGCCCTGATGTTTAAGGGGAGGAATGAGGTTTCATCTGGATGAGTTCCATCTCATCAGGATGCTTCAAGGAATTTCTTGGTTAAATTATGTCAACATGTTTAATGTGTAAGTGTTACTTTATACTTATACTTTATAATTATACTTTCATAACAGTTCAGAACAGTTTCATATTATAAATCTCTGGTGATGCATGAACGTGTTTCTATTTTCTTTTATTTTTTCTGTGGCAATCGAGATGCGGCAGACAGAGCTTTTTTATTCAACCTGGAATATTCCTTTGTGTCTCTAATTATGAATGGAAAATGCAGTCTGCTTAACATAACATACAGCAACATTTAATGTGTGGGTAGCAGTGATGTTTTAGTATCATTGAAATACTGTATGTTTATAAAGTTTTTATTATATTTATTTCAGTTTTAGTTATTTTAGTTCACCAAGATAAACTAATTTTTTTATTGCATCTTTTTTATCAACATTTCAACCACTTATAACATAAACATAACCAAACCAACCAACAGACAAGATAAACTAAATTAAAATGGGAAATTTTATTTTACCATAAGTAACGATTTTTTTTAATGGTTTTAATTTTAGGGTCAGGGTTTACTATAATAACCCTGGTGGTGCATAATGCATTGTTTTTCTGTTTTCTTAATAATAAAATTAACAACAATATATTATAACAAGTGTGCCTCCTCATAGAGTGAAAAATTCACAGAAGACTAACAAGAAGATGCATCAGTGCATAAACAAGATCCAGTAATGAACAAAACAGAAATGGATGGACTAACCATGGGAACTAGTTAAGTGAAAGCTTTTCTAAAGAAAAATGTTTTCAGGCTTGATTTAATAGCAGATGAGTCTATAATGACTGTATGTGTAGTCTGTAATGACTCTGGGTAGTGCGTTTCGGCGCATAATAGGAAAAGGCTTCAAGTTTCTCAATTCTGCACAACAGGCACATATTTATCAGATATTTGTCAGCGGCTGAATGAGCCATGGCTGAGTGTTTCTGAAAAGCATTTTGGTAAAATAAAGAATTGTGTTTAGCCTTGCCGTGGCTTAAGTGCTCTATCAGTGCTAGTTTGAATAGTTGCACGTAACTTGCTTATGTAAGAGTGAACTTCTCAATCTGTTTGAGAATAGCCTGAAAAGAAATGCCGCATCAGTGTGTGTGTGTGTGTGTGTGTGTGTGTGTGTGTGTGTGTAATATGTGTGCCGTGGTCAGTGCGCACTGGCTTTGGCATGTGAGTGCACTTGCTGAAACAGCTAAATGGATGAATCACTGCGCACGTGGGAATGTTTGTATGTATGACAGAAGAGTAAAAGAGAGAGGGTGCATTATGGTGAATCTCATGAAAACATGTCCAAGTCCCAATTTTAAAATAAAAAAAATATATATATTGAAGCATGTTTTTAAGGATTAATTCACCGAAGCCAAAAGCTGCTTGTTTTTAAGAAACAAATCCATCAAGACGTTTTTAACTTTAAGCCATCACTTTGGGCCAAAATACATATAGTCCGTAATCCATAAAAATGCTTCCTCCAGTGATAAAGTCCGTCTCCTGTTGTTTCTCACATTAAAATCCACCGACATATTTGTTTAGAACTGTTTTGGAGATTTGTTTTGGCTTGTAAATGCTGCTTGATCTGTGCACATTTCTCTCCTGATTCAGACAAGATTACTTTTTCACTAGAGGAAGCGTTATTATGGATTATGGACTTGTATTTTAGCCAGAAGCAATGGTTTGAAGTTAAAAATGTCTTGATGGATTTGTTTCTTAAATCATATTTTTGCTTCTCAAGATGTTAACTGATGTACTGGAGTGTGGATTTTTGTGATGTTTTTATCAGCTGTTTGGACTCTCATTCTGACGGCACCCATTCACTGCAGAGCATCCATTGGTGAGCAAGTGATGTGATGCTAAATTTCTCCAAATCTGATGAAGAAACAAACACATCTACATCTTGGATAGCCTGAGGATGAGTGAATGTTGTCATTGTATTTATTTTAGTCATTATTTTTGCAGTTACATTTGGTGATTGTGCTAGTGGTGCAGAAATTATACACTTTACCTTTATTTTGAGGTGGTTTAACACAAATATTTGCTTTAAATCCAATATTTTATTCACTGTTTTTTACTGACTTTCTGACTGTCTTTCTGCTCCATTTCTCTGTAATGGATCACCCCCACCAACCCTTTGTGGGGTCGCTATGGAAACGTCCCGGTTGTGTGGGGGAATATCTCTGAGTCGGACCCCAACACTGATGCCAAACTCTTCCCTCTTCATTGTAAAAACATCTACATACATTTTATACAGACCTATACAACTGCATTCAGTTTTTCTGTTTCTCTTTCAGTGTCTATCATTCTATATTCTCATAAGCAGCGAGCTCGTCTGTGATCTCCAAAGCATCTGTTTTGTACTTCCTTTAATGTGCCGTTTTAAAAGAAACATGAGTTCAGCACAGGTTCCGTCCCTGAACAGCAGAAACAAACACAGCTTCTGCATCCTGGTTATTTTAGCTCATAATATGACTCAGTGTTTGCCAGGCTGCTATATTGGGGGGATTCGTTCTCCGCAATTGACAAGCCTGCAGTCATACGAATGGCGTTACATCAGGAGAGAGATGCTCTGGTAATGAGGGGAAATGATGGGGTAACCCACTAACCTCCGTGCAACCCATCACTGCATGAAACCCGAGCACAAAGCCGCTCTGTCTGTCTGTTTAGTATTCAGAGTGAAGCAGAGAGAGCAGTTCAAACTTTGTTTTAGACACAGAGCTGCTCTGTGATGGAATAAGGCCATTTAGAATGAGACAATTGGAGGAAAAAGAAGGACGAGTGAGTGAGTATGGATAGTGTGCTCTGAATTTAGAAACATCTAAGTGTCTGTAAAATTATATTTAAAGAGAGAGAGCGAGCAGGTGCCCACCTACACTCGCTGTTGTGCTATAGATCAGCATTAGATTGAGAGTGTGCCTGCTGGAAAGAAAAATCACTAATGAAATGAGGAAAAACAACCCTATAATCTCACAGTCTCTTCTCTAGAGTTTTGTAAGAGATCTCAAATGATGCTCAGATGTGTCAAGATACCAAAGTCTGCTGTCAGATTGCTCAAAGTTTGCTCTCTCATAGTGCAGGAGACTTAATGGACTCTCAAATGTTTCTCCTGAAAATTTTTAGTAGTACTAAACAATGTTTTATTGTTCACTAAAGCTATAACTATTAAAAAAATATTTTTGGTAATTGAAATAAAGCAGATAAAATAAAATATATATTAAAAAAAAACGAAGTGTTTTATTGATTACAAAAAATGTCATTATTAAAAGCAATTTTCGATAATTGAAATAGAGCTGATAAAATAAATCATGAATATTAGATGAAAAACTTTAATGTAAAAAAACTAGAAATGTTGTAAACTAAAATTAGAAATGTTGCCTTGGCAACTAACTGAAATAAGTTGAAGTACTAAAATGACTAATAATAATAATAATAAATTAAAACTATTTAAAAATTTAAAAAACATTATTATATTATTTTATATGATAAAAATCTCAAAATCACATAACAAAAGTATTAAAACTTAAAAACAACAGGAAAAATAAAAACATTCTAAATATTAATAAATACTAAAATAATACTGAAATAACACTATAAACAGATGGGAGAATTAGACAAAAAAAAAAAAAGGGGGAAAAAAACAGAAATTATTCATACTGAAATCACTCGTGTGAAGGAAAATGTACAAATGAGATCTCATAAATATCTAATTCCCCCCCCAGACAACAGTGAGATGAAATTGAGAATGAAATTGAGAACAACTTCACATATTCACATATTGTCTTCTAGGAAAAATGAGATCTTCTCATGTGTGAGATCTCAATAATGTCTCAAACTTTGCACATGTTTGCCAAGATACAAAAGTCTGCAACCAAAATCAGAGATTTCAGTATAAACTCAACCATTTTGTCATTAATTATTTCTTTTCCACATTAATTTTAAAACAGTCATCTCATTTAATTTGTTTTTTTTTCTCTCTCTCTCTCTTGTTGCGTAGAAAAATCATCAAAGTTCATGTTTGCAATTAAATGTAACTGAATACCTCATTTCTAGTCTCCAATTCTCTGAAAGAGCAACATCTGAGCATTAAAGTTTCCTCTAGTTGCGTGACTGTGTGCAAGTACAGAAAGGTTTTTGAGTATTTGAGCTAATAAAAGCCTGGCATACACAGATGTCCCTCTCTGAGACCTGCAGAGGACATAAACCTCCATCCTGGCAGCATTTCTACGCTTATTTCATTGTTATTTGACTCGGAGTCTCAATGTCCTGTTGCTAAACTCTTCAAAAAAAACATCACGTCCATCATCATCAGCAATAGGTCATTGTCCTTGTACCCATGTTTCACCTCAAGAAAGCAATCCTTTTCATTGCCTACGCAGTCTTTTATTCTACAAGGTCTGTTTCTGCATCTCACATATTTTTTTTATAATCACCTACTTGATTTGCTCCGCTATAAAAGCGAGCTGTACAAAGCTGCAGCCTGGAGATATTTAAGTTGGATTGTGAGCGCTGCGTGAGATTTGTTTTTCTGATGATGACATTTACAGATGCATTTTCATAGTTTCTCCTCTTTTCTTCACTCTTTTCTCCCCAGGTCCCCTGGTGGGCTGGTTCCTCTCTGTCTTGCATCACCTCCTTTATTTCTTCTCCTCCTCTGAACTTTGAAGCCCTTTGAGGAGCAAGGCCATGGCACAGTTTTCCTCTCCCGTCCTCCTCTTGTCGCTCATCCTCGTCCTTTCTCTGCCTCCATCCTGTTCTCCTGAATCCCAGCGGGAAGAACCGTCTCTCCAGCCCTCTGTCGCTCCAGAAGCTCCATCAGAGCTCTACAGTAACCTGACGGATGACGGCGCTCCACCGAACAAACCGTGCTCTGACATGGTCGAATGCAAACCTGGAATCATCCTGCCCGTATGGAAGCCCATCAATCCCAGTCTGGGAGAGCAGGTCGTCCGGGCCATCCTGTATTTTGTCTCTCTCATGTACATGTTTCTGGGAGTGTCCATCATCGCTGATCGATTCATGGCATCTATAGAGGTCATCACATCACAGGTGGGTCTTGTCTTACAATAATTGGCTAATTTCATTCAGAGGATTAAAAAAAAGGTACAAAAGCTGTTATTGGGGTAAAAATTTACCCCTAAAAGGTGCATTTTAGAACTAGGGTTGGGTGTCAAGAACCAGTTCCAAATTTCAAAGAACCGTGGATTCAATAAGACATGCGCATTTCGCTTCCTTTGTGTGCATTTTAATGTAATTTTGAACCATTCAAGCGCAAGTAGATGTGAAAGAGAATTCATCAAACAATTCATCACTATCATATAGTGTGCAAATACTGAATTGAGTTCTCTTTCGCATCTTCTTGTACTCTTCTTTTACTTGAACAGACAAATAGAATGATTGTCAAGAAAGGACAAAAACACTGTAAAGGGCTGTTCACATGTCGCGCCTAAAAACGCGTGGAAAACGCTAGGTGCGCCACTTTCTGCTTTTTTCCAAAGCATTCGGGCGCTTGCGCTCCGGAGGCGTCTGCCGTTGCTAAGCAACCATGACCCATGAAGACGCGGAAGTTTCAGCAAAGGATAAATGGATTTGCTGCACTAAAAATCGCTTGCAAGTAGCTCTGCTACTAAATTTATTTAAAAATGGCTATCCCTGTACAGCTATGAACAGCTGTTCCTTCATCTTGGCTGAGCTTTCAATGTTGTTACGGGAAAGGATGAAGCTGATTGGTTGGTTCTTGTCACATGACCCGCGGTGCGCTTGCGGCATTCTGAAAGTTGACGCGTGCGCGTCGCGACCGCATCGCTTCCATTATGAGCGCACCTGCCGTGCGTCTACATTTGAAATAACGAACTTGAGCGCGCATAAGACGCGATATGTGAACGGCCCCTAAAAGTGTCATAAAAGTAGTCTGTTTTCAAGTCTTCTGAAACGGTAGCATGGTGGTAGCAATGCCAAGGTCATGGGTTCGAATCCTTGGGAATGCATGATCCGATAAAATGCACAAAAGTGCATGCACAAAATGCACAAACGTGTCTGCCAAATGCATAAAGATAAATGTAAAATTTAAGTTGGTATTCAGTGAAAGTTCGCTCCATTATGCTTCTTCAAACTGGTGCATTTGGTCCTGACATTTGTGAAAACGATACAATTATATTGAATAATATCCTTGGAATATAGTGCATGAGTCATATGGACTGTTATTTTATGGCTTATTTTGTGTTTTTGGAGTTTGACAGCCCCTCTGGACTGTTTTTTCTGACAAAAAGCTGAGTGAAAATTCGTAAAAAGTTTTGCAAGTCTGCATACAGGTTTGAAGCGACTAAACAATGACAGGATTTTCAGTTTTTGGTGAACTCTTTTTTTTTTTTAAAGTGTAACCTTCACCTGAGCTCAGTTTAGCTTGTAATTGCTGTTATTAAAATAAAAACAACCGTGACTGTTTCTGCAGCCTCTGAATGTTTAATGGGATGCAAATGCTTGCAGTGTGCTTGATGTTTTTTCTTTCTTTCTGCTAAAACGACTGACTCGTCAACACTTGTCAAGGGTAGATCGCCTACTCTTATCACCTCCGCTGACTCATGCGCCATAAACCTGTTGAGAGAGGAAAATTAGCCAAACCGCTTTTAGAAAGGAGGCTAGTTTTCCTTTAGTTCTTTTATTTTGTCAGAAAAGAAATCAAAAGCAAAATCAAAAACTCTAGCTTTATACCGTATTAAAGGGCTGCTGAATTTGAAATGCAGCCAGATGTAGGAAATGCATTAATTTTCACATAGCTAGCGTCTTAACTCCAAAATACTTTTATAATTAAATGTGGATTACAATAAAACAAAATGAGAAATGCTGCACCATCATGGCACAGTCACAAACATTTGTTTTCAAGTTTGTCAGTGTTGTTATTTCACTAAATCTGAAATAAAAATAGACCTATATAAAGTATAATAATAATAATAATAATAAGTATTATTAATATTATTATGCTTAAATCAGACTGGATTTGTGCTTCATCACCATCTGTCTGTGCTTTATAACCAAGCTAATCAATTATATCACATAATAGACTTACATTGGGTTTTAGGAGCATCTGAATTAATATATAATGACACATTCACATTTATAATCTTTAGTAGATAATCATAAACCAAGGGGAAATATCCAAAAACCCTCAAAATTTTGACACATTAATTCATTATGCATTGAGCTATTTTTTGTATGCATATTAAAATAAAAATCTAGTAAATTAAAACCATAAAACAATGAAAATCATTGCTTGAAATTAAATAAACTTTAACTGAATTAAAATAAAATAAAATAAAATATGAAAAAGTAGTACTAAAATAACTAAAGCAAATTAAAAGATCAATAAAAACTATACTTATATATTTAAAAAAAATCAAAAACTATAAAAATGACAAAAACACAACAAAATTACTAAAATATTAACTAAAATTAAAAAATGGGAAAAAAACTAGTTCAAAATATTAATAAAAAAACAGTAATAGTATATTACTGATAGTAAAATAATAAACTAGTACAAACTAAATAATGTAAATATATTCTTAAAACTTGTGTTCGGGTCATTTTGACCTGGAGAGGAGTTTTTTCCCTGAAAATGCTAGTTAATTTTTGAATAAACAATGCTAAAATTATCCACAAATAATGCTTTTTTCACTCAATGAGGTTTACGCAGATCAATCACAAAAAAAAAAAAAAAGGTTGACAAAAAGATTGAACCCAAGATTTGGAAATAATATAGCATGAGAGATTTACAAGTAATTTTTGACTGGGAACACCAAATTAGGTAAAGGATTTTCAGCACAGCAGGGTTGGCTAACATAGATCTTTTGTGAGAGTCAGTCGCTCTCTTTCTCTCAGCGGTGAGTAAATCAGCATTTCGTCTTTTGCAAAATCAAAGCCAACAGCTTTGAGTCTACCTCATTAATCAAAGCGTCCCCTAGAAACAAGCCTCATGCACCCTTGTCAAAACATGAGGTCGCGTCTGCAGGGTGGTGGCGAATGCGATTGTGAAAGCGGCACCAGATGCGAACAAAAACAGTTGGGAGATGTTAGCAAAGGAAGGACACAAAGAAGTGTTGTGGAGGGTATGTATGGCCTGTCAGCGGCTGCGTTCGCACCGCGAGGCCTCGTGCACACAGCTAATATTTGGAAACATCTCTGAACTGTTTATCATGTTTAGATGTGCACATTTTGAGCATGCCAAAACACACAGTCATAAGTGTTTTTGCTGTCTGTATGCATGAAACAAGATCAGAATTGGTGCATATTAGGATTGACAATGCACACTGAGTCATAAAGAAAATAAAAGAATCCAGCATCAGTACTCTGTGTCCTTTCTTGCCTTGAGCCGTCTCATCTATCTGTGCCCAGACCGCTTTAGATGCATCATTGTGAGCAGCAGTCATTGTTTCTAATATGCCAGTTGCAAATTATTAAAGGAAATCATTTCCAGCTCTGGATCAGAGGCTGCACCACACACACTTTAGAGCCTCCAGGCTGAAAAACTAGACTTGAACTCTTCCGTCTCAAAAGAAACAACTGAACCATGACAGTTTGACTGACTCTAGGTGCACTGAAAGTCTTATGAATAAAAACACAATGCCAGAATTACGAGCCCTGACGCTTCAGGAGTGTTATTGAGTTGTGGAGAGTGAGTAAGCTGGTTGTCTGTGTCTCAGGGTTTTGATACAGTTTGGCATCTCTTTACTAGACTGGAAAACAAAAAGAACTTCACTATAGTGCAATCAATAAGATGCAGTCTTCTGCCATAAAATGACTTGGGTCTAGTGATAAACTTCAACCAACCATTAGCAATCAATCGACTGAACAAATTGATGTCAAATCAACCAAATTTCAGAAACGTCCCTGGCTCAAAGTTTAGATTTTGTGAAAGCCAAAATATGTATTGCCATGGCTGAATATTTACTGAGTAATCCAGTGTTTTGTAGAGGGGGTCAAAATGACAGTTTTCATCTGAGCTTTGAAGCCAAATTACAGGTAGGTGAAAATGACTTTGCAGCATCATAATTTTATTTTTGAGATTGGTAGGTCTGTTAGTAAAATATGTTGACTTTAGCAATCTTTGTTGCTTTATATGCCAGTGATGACAGTTCAAAAATCACTTTTTGTGTTTTTTCACCAAAGTTTCAATGCCTATTAGGGATGTAACGATTAACCGCGAGCCGGTTGAAAATTGATTCAAATATGTGACAATTCAAATCGGTTGAGATGCTAAACAAATCGCGATTCAATTAGGGGTAGGAGTTTATATGAATGTATGTCTGAGGGGAACATTTCACAAAGAAATGTGCAGCATTTTGTCCAAGCAATAATAAAAGGACACATTTCATTTATAATTTGTCTTAAATCTAATTTTGTAAAAAAAATAAATAAAAAAATCGCGAATCGAATCGTGAGTTGAGTGAATCGTTACATCCCTAATGCCTATAACTCAGGAAGTATTAATGATCTCAATATCCATTTAGATTCTAATTGCTAACAAACGTTTCTTGTGGTATCTTCGTTCTCTTTATGGCTCTATATGGTTCAGTTCCAGAGATATTGGGATCTCAGTGTGGCTAAATTGTACACATTTTCAGTGGTCAAAAACTAAATGTTGGTCACTTTGCATACAGTTACTTTCCCTTTGTCAAAACAATTGAATAGAACATACCCATCTGAGTGCCAAAAATATAATTTTTCCAAAGTTTGTTTGCCTGTAACTCAAGAAGTATTAAAGATATATGAATACGATTTTACATTCTGGTTCTTAACAGCCTTTTCTTTTGCTATCTTCATTTTAATGGCCCTATATGGTTCAGTTCCAGAGATATGGGGATCTCAATGCGGCTCAATGAGTAAATTGTTCAGTTGTACATTTTCATTGGTCAAAAACCAAATGTGGGTCACTTTGAATACAGCTCATACCTAATGTATTTTAAAAAGGAATGTCTGAAGAACAAATAATGTTAAAACTTGAAATGTATCTTGTTTCCCGTTATCAATACAACTGCATAGAACAAACCTGACTGCCATAAATATTCCTTTTCCAAAGTTTGTGTGCCTGTAACTTAAAAATCTCAATATCCTTTTAGATTCTAATTATTAACAATCTTTTTTTTTTGTATGTTTATTTTCAAGATTTAAATTAGATTTAAAGGCCAAAAAAACAAATGTCATTTTGCAGAGCTGATACTTACTGTATTTAAAGAAGAATGTCTGAAGAACAAATAATGTTGAAACTAGAAATGTACCTTTATATATTCACATAAAAGTAGTATACGTGTGTATATATTTAAAATTCGTGACTGTTTTCATTTTCTGCTTCTATACATTCAAAATGGCAATTCTGAATCCTGTTTGCTATGTTAATTCAAATTCAGATCAGTTCTGAACGGTGCACGAGCCCTACTGCTAAAACCTGTCAGGCTTTTACTTAGCAGTAATGACTGACTGCATCCTTAACATGTTCCTCTCTGATCCCTCAGGAGAAAGAGGTGACCATCACCATGCCAAACGGAGAAACGTCAGTGGCCACCGTGAGAATCTGGAACGAAACCGTGTCCAATTTGACCCTGATGGCGCTCGGATCGTCTGCACCTGAAATCCTCCTGTCGGTCATAGAGGTGGGCGAGACTTTAAAATGACATAATGTGCTAGTTGAGAAGCCCTTTGTAACAATTAACTGCATAACCACTAATTACATTTACAGCAGATGGATAAACCCTCATTAGTGTAGCCTGAGGTTTGACTATTTCATTAGCAGCGTTACCACTCATAATTTAAGTGGTGCTTTGTCTGATCATTCCGTTTGTATTGAAGCATGGTCCATCCATAATTCATAGACTCATGTAATTAAAATATACATTTTGTGGCTTTTAGCTTTGCCTTTTAGCTATGAGAACTTTTTGCATTTTAAAATGTAGTCTTTCTTTTTTTTGTGATTCATTTTGCTCACAGGGGCACTTTTTTTTCTAATACAATAAACTTTCTGAAAAGAGAAAGTCCTAAAACGACCTGCTTCTGACTTCTTAAAACCATTAAAAACATTAAATATTAACTGAAATTATAACCAAACCAAAAAAAGAAAAAACAAATAAAAAATGACAATGCCCAACAAAATTACAAAAACTTTTAAATTATAATAATAAAATAAATTATATATATATATATAAAAAAAAAATA